GACCCCAATTTGGAACTATCATAACGAGAGCTGTAACCAATTTCTCCTTTATTGTTTCAAATACCTGAGACAGTTATCATCAAAGACAAATGTAGTATCTTTCTCCCAAAGGTTGCAAAGGGGTTTAGCTATTTTGAGAAATCTTTAATAAATCTCCTGTAAAACCCAGCATGTCCCAAGAAACTCCGAATTCCTTTGACATTAGTGGGGTGGTGGTAGCCTTGCTATTGTATCTATCTTAGCTCTGTCGACTTCCAATCCCTTTGCTGAAACATGGTGGCCTAGCACAATTCCTTTATGTACCATGAAATGAAACTTCTCCCAGTTAAGAACTAAGTTCTTTTCTTCACAACATTGCAACACTAAAGAGAGATTGTGAAGGCAATTATCAAAAGAAGTACCAAAAACAGAAAAATCATCCATAAATACCTCTATAATTTCCTCTACCATGCATGCGAAGATAGGCATCATACATCTATGAAAAAGTGGTTGGAACATTGCATAATCCAAATGGCGTCAGTCTATAGGCAAAAGTGCTATATGCACAAGTGAGAGTCATCTTCTCCCGATCATCTAGTGCTATCGCAATCTGATTGTAGAATAACTATCAAGAAAATAATATTGAGAGTAGCCTGCTAGTCTATCCAACATTTGATTAATGAATGGAAGTGAAAAATGATCTTTTCTAGTTGCTTTGTTCAACTTTCTGTAATCAATGCAAACCCTCCAACCAATCACTGTTCTTGTAGAAATCAGCTCGTTGTTGTCGTTCTTGACTACTTTCATTCCAACTTTCTTTGGCATGACCATCTATACTGGATTAACCCATGCACTATCTGAAACAACAAATATAATATTTACCTTCAGTAGCTTTAGTATCTCTACCCCACCACTTCTTTCATAGCTGGATTCAAGATCCTTTGATGTTCAACAAACGGCTTGTAAGAGTCTTCTATGAGAATTTTGTGCATGCAAACTATAAGACTTATCCTATTGATATCAACTATAGACCAACCCAAAGTTGCTTTGTGTTCTCTTAATACTTTTAGTAATTTGTCTTTTTCATCCTTGGTAAGTGAAGAATAAATAATCACTGGAGATGTAGAGTTTTCGTCCAAGAGCGTACATCGAAGATGGTCTGGAAGTTGTTTTAGTTCAGATTTAATGCTTTCATTACTCGTGCTGTCATCTGATCCCGCTGCATGCTGAATATCTTCAATTTATTGTGATGGATTACCGTCATCTGGCGATGATTCAAGAGCTAATATGCAATCAACTAATTCCTTACTTTTTGTGTAACCTCCAGAAGTGTCAATGTCATCCTTTTTTGCACTAAATATCATAAAATACTCCAGGGGATAATGAACATTTTCTCGTCCTTCACGGCAGAATCGATGAAGTCAATTCTATGGCAAGTATCGGTGTCATTTGAAAATCTCATTGTTTGGTAGATATTGAACATCACTTCTTCTTCATTCATTCTCAAAGTCAGCTGCTCGCCTTATACATCGATTAGGGCTCTTCCTATTGATAAGAATGGCCTACCCAAAATCAATGGAATCTCCTGATCTTCTTCCATATCCAATACCACGAAGTCAGCTGGGAAGATGAATTTATCAACCTTTACTAGAACGTCTTCAATAATTCATCGTAGGTATGTGAGGGACCGTCAGCTAGTTGTAGAGTAACCATTGTTGGTTTTACCTCTTCGATGCCTGCAGGATCTTTTCTTCTCTGAGGGAGCTTCTTTTGAAGAATAGCACTCCATTCCTCTGTCAACTTCACTGTCTCATATTCTTCCAGTTTTCTCTTCTTCAACATTACCTCTTTCAAAAACTTAGAGTAGTTTAACATATGTTCCAAAGCATCTACAAATAGGATATTAATATGGATTTTCTTAAAAATATCCAAGAACTTGGCGAATTATGCATCAAACTTCTTCTTCTGGAATCTTTGTAGAAATGGAAGGGTTGCCTTGATAACTGGTAGGTTATTAGGGAATGATATAGAGTCAGGCTTGTAATCCTGCTTTGTTTCGTCGATCCGATTCTCTTGTTCTGCAACTATATGTTCTTCACTTTGATCAGGTGTAGAGGTTGATGACACTATAGGCGTGTTCTCTCCAACTTCCTTGCCACTCCTCAAAGTAATAGCTTTGTAGTGTTCTTTTGGATTCACCTCTGTATCACTTGGAAACTTCCCTTATTGTAGAGACTTCATTGATATAGCCAACTTACTAATATGAACTTCAAGATTCTTAACGGTAGCTTCCATATTGGTCACGTGAGTCTCGATATTGTCCAAGTGTGATTCATCTTTGTTGAACCACGATATCGTCTCAGAAATAAAAGTCCCAGGAGGTCTTCTAAAGATGTTTTCCCTTCCGACTGTTGAGTGTTGAATCCGAGAAGAGGTTGAAGTACATTCCTGTTATTGCCATATGACGAATTCTCGTGATTCCAAAGCCCTAGATGGTAGTGATTAGAAGAGTAGTTTCCTCTCTGATTGTAATTCCTGTTGTTGACATACAAAGTTTGCTCATTCGCTATTTTTTTTTTGTCTCCTGATGTGCCACAGAAGCAGCTATAACCGAATTGTCTTCTGTTGATTATTCTGAGTGGTAAGTGTAGCTATCTGATTAGTATGTGATGAAACATGAGCTGATGGTGCAATGATAGGATCCAATTCGTGTAAACATGCTACTCTCTTTACACTTGAACTCTCACTCGGCTGTTGGTAACTATTTGTAGCTATGTTATCCAATAGAGAATATGCAGCATCAGCTGTTTTAGCCAATAAAATACCCCCTGCAGCTGCATCCACTGTGGTTCTTGTTTGCCCATTTAACTCGTTGTAGAAGATCTCAATCTGCATCTAATTCTGAAACCCATGTTGAGGAAACCTTCTAAACAGGTCTTTGAATCTCTCCCAAGCTTCATAAAATGGCTCGAAGTCAGATTGTCTGATTGACTAATTTCGCTCCGAAGTTAAGCTAACTTGGAAGGTGGGAAGTATTGGTGATGAATTTCTGAGCTAAGTCATTCCAAGTAGTAATAAAACCATATGGTAGTGATTGGAACCAAGTCTTAGCTTTATCCCTCAAGGAGAAAGAAAAGAGACGGAGTCTAATTGCCTCTTCAGTAACTTCATCCATCTTCATTGTATTACAAATTTCCAGAAAAGAACCCAGATGGGCATTTAGGTATTTTGTCAGAGCTCCCTCAAACTGGTTCTATTGTACTTGTGTATCAGTCCCGACTTTAGTTTGAAATTATTTGCGACAATGGTCGGATGCACGATACTAGAATAGTATCATTGACCACTGGCCTGATGTAGTCCTCAATAACCCGTTGTTGATTATTTTCATTAGCTGCTCTTGCTTCTTGTTCTGCCTTGCTTCACATTCGTTTCTCTGTATACCCCTGAAAAGCAGAATGTGCATTCTGGTTTAGGATCAACATGTAATAATTCAAGATTCCTAACTTTTCATATACACAACTGAAAATAACAGCTCAAGAACTATTAGAGATAGAGAAAAAATAAATTAAAAGAAAAAGAAAAATCTAAATTAAAATAAAAGTAAATTGGTAATAATATCAATAGAAATCAAATGAAACAATCCTCGGCAACGACGCTAAAAATTTGTCAGATATTTTCTATAACGTAATTTATGCCGCAACCGTATGGTGTCAAATTTTGTAATATAATAATAGAGTCAAAGTGTCGAACCCACAATGATTGTAATTTAATGGAAAAATTGTAGTGGAGGGTTTATAACCTTTTGTTTATTTGAGGATTTTACCATAATCTTTCATTTGTGCCTTCCACAGTCCGCAAACCTTTAAAAACTTGTACTTAAGGTCCAAATGGATGAAAAATTATCCAATTAACTGTTAGTTGACTAAGAAAAGTAGACTTTGACAAATTTTAACCAAATTAAAAGAGATAAGTTAGTAACTTTACACTTTTCAAAAACAAAAAATCATCATCATCTACCACCCCATCCCCATCATCATCCAGACCTCTCTCCTACCCAAAACCAAAATCATTGATACCTATCGTTGCCCACTACCATCGTCGTCACCTCCAAACCTAAAGCCACCACTACCTCCCGTACCATCTTCTTCACTGCCAACTAGAACTCAAACAAAAAATCAAAATCAAACCCAAATTGGAGTCATTTTCTCCACTGCTAGAGGACAACTCTTGCAAAAGCATTGATGGGGGCAAATCGGTCTTTGCGGTAATGTTGGTTGCCTGTGAATCAAGGGCATAAGATGAAGTTTGGGGCATGATGAGAATTGGTTTTAGGAGTAGCCCCGTTTTCTTTTATTTTTATTTTTTTTGATTTTTTGATTTAATTTTTTAACTTATTTAATGTCAGGAAAAATGTAAACTACTATTTCATCCTTTTTAATTTGGTCAAAATTGATCAAATTTTGACTTCTAATCTGGCTAAATGGATTTATTCATTTAGACTAGCTGCTAATTTATCAAAGGTTTGAAACCTTTGTTAGAGTAAAGTCTGCAAAAAGTGAAAGGTTAAGGACCATTGCTGCAATTTTTCATTTTAAAATTATGATATAACTGATTGACGGCATGATTTAGTCCCATTTTTTTTTAGGTAGAATACATTTTAGAATAATAGATTGATGGAAAATATGTTATTAAAAATAAAGGAAAAGTTTTGAAATTACGTGCAATATTATTTTAGTGAAAAATGTGTGGTTAAAAAAAATAGAAAAAAAAATATTTTGAATAAAATGAAGGTTTGCAATTGTTTCTGTTATACCCAAGCCACTTCTTCCTTCCCAATTAAGCAAAACAAACTAACAACAAAAAAGAAAAGAAATAATAACGAAAAATCAAAACGAAACGCCAGTGGAAATTTTCATCCACCCGAAGCTCCTGTTGACTACAATTTTCTCTATTACCTATAATCACTTTATGAATTAATCCAAAATCTATTGACCCCCAATTCCGATCCACAACCACCTATCATGGCGACTTCGACGGCGTCTACCACCAACATCATGCTCGCAATCTTCGAGAAGAAAACCAATTCGCTAGATATTTATCGGCCGCTTCGCAACTTCATAGTCATCAATTACTCGGAGCGCGAAGCCCAGAATTTGGAGGACGATCTCCAGACGCTTAAGGAGCTTCGATCAGATATCGAACGAGGCCCATCCGATTCTTTTCCCGCACGCCGTGATCTCCTGCAAAGTTATTTTAAAGCCCTTTGTGCAGTCGAGTCCAGGTTCCCCATTTCTCCCGATAAGGATCACATCAATACTGTGTCGTTTACTTGGTTCGATGCGTTTAAGAATAAACAAAAGGCTTCTCAACAGAACATCCATTTAGGTAATTTTTATGAATTACATATATTTTGACGGGTTTTAGATTTGTAGTAGAACTCTTTAATGCCATAATCTTGGTCTGCGAGGAATACACAAGTTTTTTGGTTTATTTAGTAGTACAATTGTTTTTGCGTGAAGTACAAAGCACTTTTGCTATAGTATAGGTTGGAAATAAGCTCTGGCTTGCTTAGTGCTCCGCATTTATCTGACTGAGAATAGAAAAGAACAGTAAAGTTTTTCTTAAATTAATGGAGTACAAAAAATTGATGCTAAACATGCTATGGAAATGTATCATTAATTCTTGGAAAAAAAATTCTGTGGAACATTCATTTTGGTATTGGAGTTGTTTATTTTCATGTTAGAAATGCTGAATGCATGGTAATATACACTAGTGTTAGCCCTATATGCTGTAGAATTAGCAACTTGGATTTAAAAGTTTGTTTATTTAATTTGTATAGAAAAAGCTGCGGTGTTGTTTAATTTGGGGGCGGTGCACAGTCAAATGGGGCTGAGCTTTGATCGGTCTTCTGCAGAGGGGAGGAGGCAGGCTTCACATTCATTTATAGCAGCAGCTGGGGCTTTCGCGTTTCTGAGAGACAATGTGGCAATGAAAGCATCAGTGGGAAGTTCGACAACCGTGGATGTGTCAGTGGAATGTGCAGGAATGTTGGAGAGACTGATGCTGGCCCAGGCACAGGAATGCGTGTACGAGAATACCATAGCAAAGGGGAGTAGTCCTGGGGTCTGTGCAAAGATTTCAAGACAGGTTTATTTTTATTTTTTCCCCTTTCAATCTGGGACTTCTCTTTCATCTTATTTGGTTTTCTTTGTAGAATTTGGATTGTTGCTGATGTTTTTAGGCTATACTAAAATCACACATAGGAATTTTTTTGTCATTACTTTTTCGTGAATGTACACTTGGCACATCTAATTCTTTTTTGAAAGTACATAGATTTTATCGATCAAATAGTACATTCAGTTCATAATTTATTTCATCTGATCCTGAATTCGGTTTGCAAACTCTAGTGTGGGCGTCATGGTCCTGACTGTATTTAGTAATATACCTGAATGAAAAGATTGGAGAAAATTGTCAGATGGAAAGTGTGCAATTCAGACGAGTTCTTAATTTTTTGATAATTCTCTTAGCAAAATGATGTAATCTAGTAAAAGTAAGCAATTGTATGGATGTATATGTTGTACTGAAAGATTGAAGTCATGAAGGCACAGTAGTGTCCAGTTGTTTCAGATAAATTTTATCTCGTATTTTGCAGAAATGGATTGATTCTTGAGCACTTGAGTACCAAAGGAAAAATTCACACATGAATTTTCAAACTTGAAATTGGATTTTTCTCCTTGATTATTTATCCTAATTCTAAAAAGATGTTTCAAACACAAAACTTTTCTTACCATAATTTGAGACCAGATTCCCATTATGTGCTTGATCTGGCATGTTGCTCTGTGATCATTTTTTACCCAAGTCCTTCCAATTTCTTTAATTTTATGCATTTGATATCCTGTTTATGTGAAATCCTCAGTTCTTTTCTTTTACGTTGTAACACCAGAAAAATGATCTTGTGAAATTTATCGCAATCAAGTTAATATTGATGATCTTGTCTAAATTGAATATCATAATTGTGCGAATTGATTTGCTTAAATATTATCCCTCAATTTATTATAAGGATCTGTAGAGTTGGCTTGAGAGAAGCTTCTGTTGAGAAGGAGCTATGTAATTCTGGGAATTGCAGGCTGTTCGGTTTATGTTACAAAACTGCTGTTCCAAAACCTTTTGGAATTGACTACAAATTTCCTCAATCTCTTGTATGTGTGAAGTATGAGCTCAATTACATGGCTAGCAGCCTAACACCTGCTATGGTTATTGATATAACATTATGGAAGTGTTGTTTTCCATAGAAATTGTAAATATCAAAATTTATGCTGTGCGGCATACGATATTTAACCCTTTTATTTATTTATTTATTTCACGTTTATCTAATGATCAATTCAAATGTTTTTGTTAATAGGTTGGGCTGTATTATGAAGAAGCTTTGGGAGCACTGAATAATGCATTTTTGAACCAACATTTTGATAAGGCCTGGATAGCCCATGTTCAGCTAAAGGCTGCCTTATTTTATGCAGAGGCCTGCTATCGATATAGTTTAGAGCTGCATGAGAAAGAAGAGATTGCTGAGGAAATTGCACGTCTGAAGTGTGGGGTTAATGCTTTGTCTGAGGCAAAAAAGTCATCCTCCAAGGGGGCAGCTCAGCAGCTCTTGGATGCAATCACTAAATTAGAAGCTAACCTGAATCGAAACCTGGAGAGGGCTGTGAAGGAGAATGATAGAGTCTACTTAATGAGGGTTCCTCCTGCTAGTTCTTTACCTCCACTTCCTACTTTTTCAATGGTGAAGCCTATGCCTATGAATGAGGTGCTAGATGCTAGCAAGGATAAGATGTTTGCAAGTCTTGTTCCTGATAGCAGTGCAAAAGCTCTTTCTAGGTACACTGAAATGGTTGATGATGTTATTAGGACTCAAGCTGAGAAATTGCAGCAGGGAAGTGAACTGGCTCGAGTGAGATTGAAGGAAATGGACTTGCCTGATTCAATTCTTGCTTTGGAAGGAAATTCTAATCTGCCTCTAGCTCTAAAAGAAGATGTAGAGGCTGTACAGATTTGTGGGGGGCCAGCTGCCTTGGAAGGTGAGCTACAGCAACTTAAAGATTTGAGGAGGGTTAACCAGGAATTGTTAGTTCAGACTGAGGAGCTATTACAGAAAGAGGCTACAGAGGATGCACAATTTAGAACTCAATTTGGAACACGGTGGACAAGGCCCCAATCTAGCACCTTAACAAAGAACTTGCTAGACAGGTTAAATAGGTTTGCAGCAAATTTGAAGCAAGCTGCAGAGAGTGATGCTCGGATTGAGAGATCCGTGAGAGAACATTCAGCACTCATGTCTATTCTTGATCGTCGTCCGGTGAGTTTTTCGAGATAGTTATATGAATTTTATTTACCTTGTTCTATGTTCAAAATTTGAAGCTAATTTTATGATAAACATAATTTGTCTAGGCAAGCAAGTTGCTTTATTTGTTTTGGGGTGTATCATTATTATTTTACAATCAAGAAGTGGATTTTTCTTTCAAAATTCTTCTGGAATTTGAGTCGTCTTTTCACCTTTTTTCTATGGATAGAGAGTAATTGTTGTGAGCATACTGAACGTTTTCTCATAATACTTGTAAATTAAGGTCTAGTTACTGTCCATAGTTTGATAAGCGGTGGAGAATTCATTAAGTCTTGGATCTTTTCCCACCTGTTCAACAACATATGCCCTTCAGTTTTTTTGTTGGATCTTAGTGGTTGTCAGTTGACTGCACAAGTTTTTACCTTTTGTTTTGAGTACTTCATTCTTATTTTAGCATGTAACCAGATACCGTTATTATTTTCTATCCACCGATACATGGTGTATTTTGCTGTTAAACATCATGGATCTACCCATTTCTCAAAACTACCTTCAAAAATAACATTAGTAGTCTATCAACTAGTCCTTGATCAATTTATAGATGTCAATCTTGTTGTAATATCAAATTTTCAACTTTGGTATTGCATACTGGATAATTGCAATTTTCTTCAATTTTAGACACTACATCTCTTTCATATCCCCAATGAAGCTAATATACCATAATCCTCTTGTGGGTGCATTTTTCTTTTTGATAGATAGAATCAGCCCTTCCAACTCTGGCAAGGCCAATAATGTCTTTGGATGCCACCGAAGATGCTATAGTGGGAGCCCTGAAGCAAAGCTTGGTAAGTTCATCTTGTTGAGGCTATAACATGCATGGTGCTTGATGGTTGTATGAATATAGGCTTCAACATAATTATCCTCTTATAAATCATTTACATCTTGATGGAACTTTTTTAGAATTTGCTAAATCTTTGAAATATGGATACATCTATTCTTTACATTTGCAGATGCCTTATCATATGCAATTACCACCCCAAATTCTGGGATTTACCAGTCTCATGATTTATATAACCTCTAGCCAGTTCAGTGCACTTTAGTTAACCAGTGACTTGAAATATTTTCCAAATCTTGTTCTGCAACATTAATATTCCTGCATGTGTTCATATGTATATGATGTGTAATAAATGGAATTACAGCCACGTCAATGCTTTCTGAGTCAATTTCTGATATCATCATTTTTTGATGGTGATAAAAACCACGTGTTAAAAGGGAGTTAGTGACACTGTAAAGCAACACTAAATAACCGATTCTTAGATTTATAAACTAAGAGAGAATAAAATTCCACATTTGATCATGGTCGTCTTAGGGGACTTCTCTCACTCGATTTTATCAACAATCTTCTTGAATTTAGCTTATTTGTGGAGAGTCTCTTCAAATTAGTTGTCGATATTTGCAGAGGCAATTGGAGACTCTTGGTACGGAAAGGGCAAGTCTTGAAGACATGTTGAAAGAGATGAAGAGGAAGGTACAATGAAACTAATACTTTGGCCATAATATATTTAATATATATATTGTTGTCTGCTGATAGGATTTGGAATTTCTTTGCATATCTTATGTCATTAAGTATTATGTCTATTGATGTCATAGTGATTCTCCTCCTGGCTTTTAAAACATTGAACTCCCCAACAAAACATACTTATACATGCAATATGACTTGTTACTTGTGTCGTTAGAATTTTATGTTTTGAGAATTGTGGTCTTTAAAGAATTCTTATGGTTTAGCCTTTTGTACTCGAGGGTTGGAGCTAGCACATTGTTGCATTATTGGATCATTGCTAAAATATGGCTCTATAGTCGTGAACTTTGTGTGATGCAAATGGAGTGAAAAAAAGGATTCTTCTAGCTTACCCAAGTTTATTGTGAATAAGGCTTAGGTTGTTGGTGGTGTTTTTATTGTTTGGTATCTTAATTTCTTGGTGCTCATATCTTTTGTATTGTACATATCTAGATTCGTATTCGCAGTAAGTTTCACAAAAACTGAAAAGGATACTTTTCAGAAGTTATGGGAACGATCTAGAAATGCAATGGAAACCTTGGGATGTTTTAGACATGAATGGGCTCTTCGCCTGTTGAATACAGATTCAATTTTACATTACATAGGAAAAAAGCATGTTTATGCTAACACTTACGGAAAAGGTTTAATGATATTGATTGTTCTTGAATCGAATTGAATTACTTTTGCTGGAACTTTAACATTTTCTAAATTTTCATCTCCATGTCTTTGAAAATTGATTCACAACGGAATGTGCTAAAGATTTTGAACCATGGTCATATGGGTAGGTATCTACTTGCTTTGGTTATAACTTGTACTCAGTTTTGTGTTTCTATCATGAGGAGTATGTGATGACGAATGTAACAATTTCATAACGAATAAATGAAGAGCAAGAGAAACGAGAAAGAGAACTAAGGTGTGTTTGATAGCATGGAAAATGGGTGGAAAAGGAAAACATTTTCCAACTTTTCATGAATTGTGGTGTTTGATGGACAGATTTTGGCATGGAAAATTTGGCTTTTATTTTCCCTAGACGCGCCTAACTCCTTGCGTGAGGTGAATTGATTTTCTCACCTTTTAGGTGGGAAAATTAATTCTGGGTCTGACTGCCATTTTTTTTTTTTTGGCAATGGAAACAAATTTCATGACTAAGTGTAAAAAAAAATTTCACTTTCATGGACAATTTTGATGCAAACGAAGGCCAAACGAATATTAAACTTTGATAAAAAAATGATTTTTTAGGAAACAATTTTTTTTTTTTACTTTTTCGCAATGGAAACAAATTTTATAACCAATTGTGGAAAAAAATATCACTTTAATGGACAATTTTCATGTAAAACAAAGCCAAACGAATAGAAAATGTAAAAATTTTCCGGGTGAAAAATTATACCAATCAAACACACTTGAAATCATTTTCACTGCAAAATATTTTCTAAACAAATCTTTTCCCTGTAAAACGTTTTCTTTCCACCCATTTTCCACCATTGCAATCAAACGCACCCTTAGAAGAGAGAATTTGAAGGAAGAAATAATGTGTCTGTTTGAGCCCCATTTTTTATTTATAATACATTTTGAAATAGTATATTGATGGAGAATGTGTGGTTAGAAATGAAGAAAATTTTTGGGTTGTGTGTAATATTATTTTATTGAAGAATGTGTGGATGAAAAGAAGATAGAAAAATGTATTTTGAAAAAATGGGGATCAAACATGGGCGTAATTGTATTCAAATATTCAAGGTCTCTATAAAAGATAGCCTAAGCCCCCTTTGCATAGAAAAAGGTTTTTCAATCTAAACAAACTTGTAAAAATATTGAAATAATAATAAACTCCTAATAGATAAAACTACTAAAATCTAGATTAAACTTAAATTTTACTACGTTATAGTCTTTGGCCTTAAGTAGGCTTGTAGCTATTTCCATGTTGCATCATTCATACCCGATTGGAAAGAACTCAGACTTCGACAAGGTATTGGAGTCCTATAGCTCTACATCCAATTGACGGAACTCATCTTCAGTAATTCAAGTAGCATCACTAGGCAATGATTTTTCCAATGCACCAGAAGCCTACAAAATTGTCATCTTGCAAAGCAATAATCATCTTAGCATCGAGCATCTTAGCAATGATATCTTGAAGTGAAAATATGGTTATGGGTACTTAAGGGACTTACATTGAAATGCATCGGCAAATTAAGTAGATAAGCATTAATTTCAATCCTTTTTAATTATGGGGAAAGGTCCAAGTGATCTAGCACAAAGTTTTTTGGCAGCATGTTTTGGAAAATGTTCGCGCAAGTCATATCATGTCAAAATTGTCAACATGAAATTCTTTATGCATAAGATGTGAATCAAATGATAGTTTGTAATGCTCATTACTTACATTTTTTTTGAAGTTCAATCTCATTGTGGAAGTCGCAAATGATCAGCAAAAACTTGAGTAGAAGCAGTGTAACGAAAATCAATAGGCAGAAGAACAAGACCAGTTTGTTATCACGTGGAGAAACCCTGAACTTGAATAGGTTATGACTGGTACCCACAAAATTCCAATTATTGGGTTTATCCCTAACTAAGCAATGAAGCATGCATGGCTATGGTTTGCCACTTCAGTTTAACCATTGGTCTGATGTGGAATGCGGACGAAAACTTAAAGTGTCACTCTGAACAATTTCTGTGATGTCTTCCAAAAATAACTAATGAACTTAACAATACGATTAGATACAATAGTTACTAGGGGAGCCTATGGAGGCGAACTTCATTGAAGAACAACTTAGCAACTTAGGATTCATAAGTAGACTTGGAAGAGAATGGAATGAGCCATCGTAGAGAATCTATCCACGATAATGAGCATGAACCATGACATCTAGCGTTGTTACTCAAATGGAGAGCAAAGTCCATGCAAGGTCATGTTAGAAGTATGAGGAACGAGGAGACGAGTATACATTTTATTGTTTTGACGTTGTTCCATGTCTAACTGATACTTTCAATATTGAGGAGCAATTTAGTGATGTTAGTCTAGAGGGAAGACCAATAATATTGACAATTTTATGTAGACAAAAATGACCAGATAGACCCACTGCATGTAGTTCTTAGATGAGGAAGTCACATAGCGAGGTGCGAGGATATACAATTTGGTTCACTCGAAAAGATAACCATATTTAAATAAGAAAGAAATATGATCATGGGAGGAGTTAGTTGAGAGTTCTTTAAAGATGATGTTAAAGTAAGACAACTGGGATAATTGTCCTTTAGGTGCTCAAATCTCGCTACAGTAGTGCTTTGTTGCTTTGTTTTCGACTTCAGTCCAATGGTGGACAGGTGTACACATGAAGAAACTCAACCCACTTAACATTGTCAGTCACTCAAATTATGTGGAATTGAGGTAACGAAGAGTATGATGGTCAGAATGGAGAATGAATTTTGAGGCAATAAATAATATTACCAGGACGTAGAGTTATACAATGATAGAACTACCTACAAAAGATTCGATAGAACCCCAAGAAAGCTAAAATTAGAGTTGCATAACCTTGACCTAATGATTTCTTAAACCAAGAACCAAAGCTGAAAGGGTTGAACACTATAAAGATTGTAAATCTTTGATAAGTTCAGATTAATTTAATTAAGAACGAGATATGAAAGCGAAATCTCACTTTTTATTAATCTCTCAAATAATGTATGTTTTTCTAGAATGAATAAAGCCATATATAGAGCCAATAACAAAGAAACCCTAAATAACTCGTAAAATATGAAGAAATCATAGAAAATAGAGTTCTAAATGATAGAGGAAAATTTAGACCGCTTTCAGATTGAACTGTGTGCACGTACTGTTTATTATCTCTCTCGCACGCCATTCAATTGATTTGGCTATAAGTTGAAATTTTGCCTCCATGCACGTGCGATCTATTTTGCCAGCGCGCGCGTAGCTTTCTGGCTACACTCAGGCTCCACTTCATCTAACTTAGATTGAATTAAGGTTAGTTCTTACATGCCCATCTTAAAACTTTGTATATTGCTCGTTGCTTTTGAAATCTTGCTCCGCGAGTCCTTGCATGGCTTCCTTGATCCTCCTTGTTCTTGATCTTATCATTAGTTCATTTTCAACATGCAATGGATCCTTGCTAGCTTGCCTTTCATGATTCTCATCATTCCTTTCCTATTCGAAATGATTCGATCTCGAATCTTCACTTGCATCAAAAAGAGAGAGAGAGAGAGAGAGAGAGAGAGATCCAAAATTGAAAGTAGTAGACACATTATACTCACTTAGAAGATGCAATTTATAGGCATTGTCATTAATCTTTTTAAGAACTTGGAATGGTTCATCTCCTCTAGGATGCAATTTATACCTTTTGAGTTAAAAAAACGTTCTTTTCACATGTGCACCTAAACCCTATTACCGGTTCAAATGTTACATGCCTCCTTCCTCTATTAGCTTGAGTTGTATAATGTTCATTCTTCTTCTCAATTTGAAGTCGAACCTTCTCATTGATTGACTTTACCAATTCAGCTTTCTTCCCATCTAAACTATCTTTTTCATCAACAGGTAAAAGAATTAAATTTAATGGAGTTAGTGGATTAAAATCATACACAATTTCAAAAGGCGAATAAGTAGTAGAATGCATGGCCTATTATATGTAAATTCTATAAATGGTAAACAATCCTCCCTACTTTTGAAATTCTAATTTATGATAGTGTGCAAAAGTGAGTTAATATTCTATTAACTACCCCGATTTGTCCATTTGTTTGTGGGTGACAATTAGTAGAAAATAAAAGCTTTGTTCCCAACTTACCCAACAAAAAATCCGCATCATTAGCATACATATCCTTAATATATTCAAACTCAAGCATTTTGGTACTTAAAGAAGTAAGTACATGCCTCCTTGATAAGGTATCAGCAACTACGTTCTCGTTACGTTGTTTATACGAAATGACATGGGGAAAAGCTCCAATAAACTCCATCCATCACGTATGCCTTTTGTTTA